TATACAAGTTTCACTTTTTAAATGGAATTACTGAAATCAATCTACTTTTTCATGATATTCTAATTTTATGACCAGCACCTGTATATAGGCTCTAATTTGGGCTTGAGATGCATCCTTAGTAAAACCAGAAACCTGTACTAAAAGCTCAAGACTTCACCTTTCAGAATGGGTCCAGCAGACAGAACGCGGTTGCCGGGGTTTGGTGCAGGAGCTGGGGGAGCCGCAGGGCAAAAGTTTGTGTTGCATGCCCTAGAAGTGACGGGCCTCTGGTGGGCCGGGCAGCCGGCTGAAGGCCGACCTTGCTGGAGACACTGGATAGTTCGAGTCTGAACCCCTCCTCCACAGGATACCGAGCACTAAAGCAGAGGGAAAGCAGCAATGAGGCAAAAACAAATGAATATGCATCTCCAAGAGGCAATCATCAGAGAAATACAAACAGAAGAAACTCTGCAGCATTTGCTGTGAAGTATTTGTGATGAGAGCAGACAGAGGAGGGAGGGGAGAGGAATGGATGGATGGAGGAAAAGTCCAGGCAGAGAGCGAGAACAGATGAACACCAATATCCCAAGCAGCATGTTCTCGCCCTCTAGCAAAGCTGTCAGGAGACATCTTGCCTGGTCCGAGCGTACAGGCATCCCGAGCTTCAGATCAAGCAGAATAAGACACTGAGCCTGAAGACTTTTTGCATAATAAATGATGCAACAGTTAGGCCACACAACCTTCTAGCAAAAAAAAAAAAAAAAATCTGGGTAAGAGTGGAGGCCCATTCCCCATGGCTGTTATTATACAGCTAGCTTACATGTGTGAGTAACGCTCCACCTACGTTGTACAGTCCATCTCTGGGAGATAATAACACAGAGGATCCAGTTCACAGGGTCCAATGTCTTGAACTAAGCAGTTCAAGCTTAGCTTTAAAATTGATTTATTTATGCCAGAGATTTCCAGAGAACAGAGTCTGATGAAGCGAAATCAATCACATGGGAGAAGTCGGGTGGAAAATACATTTCATGAATTTCTCTTGTTCTCAGTTATAACTACTTTTAGAGGAGAAGCTCATATTTAGATGGAAGTATCAGGTGATTCTGTGTTAAACACATAGATGATGGGTGCCGGTTGAAGCAGTTCTGCTTTGGTGGTAGTTTCCTACCTCATAATGTTTATTTTATTTTTTTATTCAATGCCTGGTTTGCATGTTTAAACACCAAAGTTTAGAAATAAAAATGTGGAAGAATGTTTTTCAAATCAGAAATCCCATCTTTTACTTCATTAATAGCCGTTAGAACCACATGGTTCTAAAACTGTTCTATTTCCTTTACTGTTAGTCATAACGAGTTTGGCTATAAATTAGCTGGATATTAAAAAAAAAAAAACACTAAAAACCTATAAACTGTGACGGATTAGTTACAGTGACCCGAGTATTATCACTGTTGGCTACCTGTGCTCTGCTCCTCCCACCTCTGTAATAAGGGTGTGCAAAGAAATCGTCATGACGATGCATCGCAATTCTAATTTTTTTGTGATCTAAGGCAAGAATCGATTATAAAAAATTAAAAAAAATGAACAAATAAAACGCATGAATGGTTGGCGCACATCAGCCAAACTGTAATACAACTTCCAGTCCAGCAGATGTCGCTGCGGATGTGTTGACGCCCGCTGCTTTGTGTCACAAGCATTTCCGGCCGCTGGATACTGAGACGAGTCATTCGTAAACAAAATATGGAGGAGACTGAGAAAATTCGCCCCGCTTGGATGCATTTTGGCTTTAAAAACAAAGAAGGTAAAAATGAAATTGATATGATGCACGTCATTTGCAAAAGGACCACTGAGGCCATGTAAACGGCACTGATTATCCTTATTTTGTTATTTTAAGTTTTATGAATCATAAGA